TCAGCAGAGACCCCACTTCCCCCTCTCTCTGCCTGCCTCTCTGCCCACTTGTGATCTCTCTGTCAAATAAATAAATAAAATCTTAAAAAAAAACTTGCATATTGAGCAAAAATATTTAACAATTCAACTAATGCAGCACTACTTGTAATTGAAAAACATAGAAAGAACCTAAGTATGCATTATTAGAGACAGAGGTACAAATAATCTACAATGCTATATGGTAATCTATATAAATACTGTATAAAACTACTACTACTATATAAATTATCTATAATGCTACAATATACAGACAATTCTCCACTAAGAGATGAAATAAAGGATATCATATGTCCTTAAAAGGAAAGGTATTCACAATGAGTTGCAAAGTACAAGGGAAAAGAAAGTTGTAGAATAATATATATGCTCATGTTAGATCTTTTCAAAATTACCTCCTATTTGTACCTTATTCTTTCTTGTTAGTTAATAAAAGTTGTGAGGGTGCGAATTTTACTCTGCTTTCTACTTTGATAGAAACCAAGATTTTTTTTTCCTATCTTAACTGAAACATATTTGACATAAACATTGTATAAATTTAAGATACTGATTTGATACACCTACATATTATAAAATGTTAGTGTTACTTGACATCGCCATCTTGTCACAGAATTACCATTTCTTTTTTGGAGTGAGAACACTAGGATCTACTGTCTTAGGAACTTTCAAGTCTATAATACAGTATCATTAACTGTATTCACCAAGCTGTACATTTATTAGGTTCCCAAATCTTCCTAATAACTGAAATTTTTACCTTTTAATTCATTTCTTGATTCACCTCACTTCATTTCTTGTCTACTCATTCTATTAGAGACCAGCAAAGTAATGTTCAATTCCCCCATAAATATTGCGCTCTGTTCGCTTCTCACTTACTACTATTCCCACTTAGAATGTCCCAAGCCTGCTTCCCAGATATCATAATCATTCACAATTTTCTGTGGATGCTAAACATTGGATTTCTTATTTTCCATTTATGGGTTTTGGTGTTGTTTTTTTTTTCCGTTTGCTTCTTAAGAGAAATACTCACAGGAGGAAGGCTTTTCCTGTAAGATTCTGGAACCACATGCTGCAGCATAGTCCAAATGGTCTAAGAATTTTCCAGGGATGGGGAGACAGGTGGCTAGCTAGGGGACTGCCCATCCCTGGTGCACAAGCCACCCCACCTCGCCCCATCCTGCAACCGTCTGTCTCTCTGGCTGCAGTGCTGTGGGCCCATGTCTAAGAGCAAGGGCAGGTGGCTGACCATAAACCAGCTCAGTTCCCAAGGCCCCACTGACCGGCAGGCTTGGACCACTCTGTTGAACTCCCAGGGGAGGCCTGTGGACTGTCTGTGGGACGTCCAAGCAGGCTGAGATGCATGCAGTTCCCCTTCCTCCTCACACTACAAAGAACCTGGTACGAGTCTCCCCACCCATGGGCACTTCCAGCTCTCTGCCCAGCTCTGTTGCTGTGGACAAAGGTTTTCCATGGACCAAGGAGCCTCCCTTCCCCACCCGCGTGTGCCCAGAGGAACTGATGACTGTAAGGACGGACCCAACAGCAACAAAGAATCTAAATCAGAAGCTCTCTGGGCACTACTGGGGAGGGGTTTCTGTGCCCTGAAGTCAGGGGCTGACAACACAAGGTGAAGAGGCCTTTCTTAGCTTCTCTGGGAAGCACAGGATCCTAAAGATGTCCAGGAACAAACTTCGGTCATCCCCACCCCATATTGGACCATGCAACTGGAGTAATACTCATCTGTCAAAGAGGTAAAGATTTAAAAGTATGATGGTACGTCTTGTTGGTGAAATGGTAGGAAAACAGGCCCTCTTGTACATGGGTGATGGGGATGCAGGCTGGTGGAACCCTGGGGAGGGGGGTACAGCAGTAGCAAAGCCTCCATGTGGGCCATCCTTCCTCTCTAGCAATCCAGCTTTTGAAATGTCCCCTGAAGAGTCACCTCCAGCTATATGAAAAGAGTGACACACAAAGCTATTGGTGGCAGCCTTGCATTGCAAGATATTGGAAACAACCTAAGGGCCACACACAAGACAGCAAGTCATGCAAAAGAGTACCAGGTAGGTGTGAAAGGGAGCTGTAAGCGCTGCTCAGGAAAGGTCAAGTGGGAATAGGAAAGTGCAAAAAAAAAGTATATATACTTGTGGTAGGGAAAGGAGGGAAATAACGTATTATTGTATGTCCTCATTTGTGCGGACAGAAACACAGGAAGGATAAATCAGAAACTGATGAGATCGGCACCCACAGTGGCTAGAAGGAAAAGACAGAAAGAATACAGATGCGGACAGGGTGGGAGGGAGGGCAAGAGGGACACTCTTCTCAGGACGATATTGATACAGCTCTGACTTTTAGAGCCTTGTTAATTCAAATACTCAAAAAAGTTTTAACAAAACCCCCAACTGAAAAATAAACAAAAACAGATGAACTCAAATGTATTTAGGACAAATTACATAAGCATACCAAAGAAAAGGGGAAAAAAGAGAACTAATTCAAGTAACTTTTGAACACTCTACTATGTTCACCCGTTAGTACTTAAGGGTGAAAAACAAACAAACAAAAAAGTCTTTTTTAAAAGATATAACTTCAGTTAGTCAATTTGTTTTTTCATGGTAGCATAGATTAGCAATTCTCAAACAATTTTATGTGTATCGCAGGATTGAGCAAATAGTAAATACACTGTGAAAATACGAGCTAGGCTTTTCACTGTTAGAAGAGGGAATCACAAACGTGGATGTGGGGAAATGCAGAATGAATCCTTTGGTGTTGGATTAACAATGGAAGTGTCAGTGTGGATGGATGGATGGATGGATGGATGGATGGATGATGAGAGAGGAGCGGAGATAGATAATACATAATAGAATAGATAGATAGGAAGATAGACAGATGGTATGTGTGTGTACACACACGCACACACATTTCCTACCTCTGTCTGCTCATGGGAGGGTCTATAACAAGTCCATTGCAATGGGCATGCACAGAGCTCCCATCTTAGTTGTTTTTTTTTTTTTAAAGATTTTATTTATTTATTTGACAGACAGAAATCACAAGTAGGCAGAGAGGCAGGTAGAGAGAGAGGGACGCAGGCTCCCTGCCGAGCAGAGAGCCCGATGTGGGGCTTGATCTCAGGATTTAGGGATCATGACCTGAGCTGACGGCAGAGGCTTTAACCCACTGAGCCACCCAGGCGCCCTGCCATCTTAGTTTCTAAATATGATTCCTCAGTAAAAGGATCCAGGGTTTCTTGGAGAAGTCACTGGCTTTCCAGTCGGTGCAGGGAAAGGATAAGATGAACCTGGAACAGTGTGTTGTGTAGAAGTTAAGGACGCGTTTGACGAACGGAGTGTTGTGTGTCAAAAGAACACAGAAGCCGCCCCCAGTGGCCGGATCTAGAACAATCTGAGCATCAAACTAAATAATGACAGCGCTGGGGTTACAGCCCGTAGAGTAAAATAAGAATCCATGAGTCCATACAGATATAAATTGTATACAAAAGAGAGAGAAGGAAAAGCTCTTCCCTACAGTAGAATTCTGACAAGAGAAGGAGGGATGGATTTCTAAGAAAAACTATCACGATAACAACTGTTTCGGGCAAGAAGCATCAGCAGAGGTGATACTAGTGATAATTTCATATGAAAGGAGAACTAGGGAATTTCAAAGAATCTCCCTCAAGGTACTTAATGATGACAAAGGTGAAGATAGCAACTTCAGGGAAACCTGGCAGACGCCGCCCTAACCAGGCGGAAGTTCACATCGCCGGCAAAGGGACAGACAGACACCATGTTCCTCTTGAAATGAGCAGAGAGGCCGCCCCACCCCACAGCTCTGGAACGCCTGTTAAAAATGCATAACCTGGGACGCCTGGGTGGCTCAGGGGGTTAAGCCTCTGCCCTCGGCTCAGGTCATGATCTCAGGGTCCTGGGATCGAGCCCCGCATCGCATCGGCCTCTCTGCTCAGCAGGGAGCCTGCTTCCTCCTCACTCTCTCTGCCTGCCTCTCTGACTACCTGTGATCTCTGTCTGTCAAATAAATAAATAAGATCTTTAAAAAATAAAAATAAAAATGCATAACCTGCATTTAGCCACAGGTAAACATTGGACTAACCCAGACCGAGGGACGTTCTATAAAATAACTGTCCCGTCCACCTCGGAATTGTCAAGGTCATAGAGGACAAGGAAAACCAAGGAGCTGTTGCCGGTAACCGAGTCTAAGGAGACAGGCTGGTTGTGACAAAGGGAGAAACAGAATTTGCTATAAAGGACATCAATATGAAAATCTGTAAGAAAAGAACACCAGCTGTAGATGAGATAATAGTGTTGTTATCCGCACTAATTTCCTGATTTTGACCATTATCCCGTGGTTACCTAAGAGAATGTTCTTGCTTTTATAAAACACATGCTCAAGTGTTCAGGGATAAAGGGACATCGTGTCTGCAATGTATTTTCACATGGTAAAAACAGCGATATGTCCATACACGGAGGGACAAAATAATAAGGCAAATGTGGTAAAATGTGAACGCTGGTGATTTGGGGTAAAGGGAATTTTTTTCTATTATTTTTGCAACTTTCCTATGCATCCAAGATTATTCCCAAAAGAAAGCTTTTTTTATTGTTATGTCAGTCACTATACTGTACATCATTAGTTTCTGATGTCGTGTTCCATGATTCATTGTTTGCGTTAACACCCAGCGCTCGTTATAGCACGTGTCCTCCTTAATACCCGTCACCAGGCTCTCCCATCCCCCTACTTCCTCCCCTCTGAAACCCTCAGTTTGTTTCCCGGAGTCCATAGTCTCTCATGGTTTATCTCCCCCTCTGAACTCCCCTCCTTTGGTTTTTCCTTCCTTCCCCCAATGTCCTCCATGTTATTCCTTATGTTCCACATATGGGTGAAAGCATAGGATAATTGTCTTTCTCTGCTTAACTTACTTCACTTAGCATCATCCCCTCCAGTTCCATCCATGTCGATGCAAATGGTGGTTATTCATCCTTTCTGATGGCTGTGTAATATTCCATTAGATATATGAACCACAACATCTTTATCCAAAAGCAAGCTTTTTAAAATGCAAGTATCTCTCCAGACAGCAGTAGTAAGTCCCTTGGAACTCACCTCATAGAGGCACCAGACTAAACCCCCGAAAATCAAGGGGTCTAGGAGGGTCAGAAGAGCTTCAGCTCACCAAAGAGGCTCTTGCCTAATCTCCTCAGTAGAATCTTCTAGAGCATTTAAAGTGTGCCCAGCTTTCTCCTATTCTGTAGTATCCACGGACACCACTCACGATGATGCTGATTGGGTATTAATCTTACAAAGTGAGTGAGCTTCCCAGAGTAGCGTCTAAAGAGAAAGCAAGTACAATGTAAGTCAAGCTATCTAAATATTTAAGAGACAATATGATCCCCTATTTTCCTGCCCTTCAACCCCCAGACAGTTTCTTACCCTTGGCACTGTTGACATTTGGGGTCAGATGGTTCTGTGTTGTGAAGGTCATTCCGTGCACTGCGGGATATTGAGTGACACCCCTGTCCCCCACCCACTAGCTGTCGGTTGTACCCCCCCCCAGTGATGACAACCCCACACGCCTCCCAGGATTGCTGAACAGCCCCAGGTGGTGGGGGTGGGGATCTGCCCGCGGAGAACTACTACTATAGAGACATCAACTCAGCAATTTGATAATAAAGTTCAAGTTCATTTCCCCTTTGAAAATATTTCCTAAGCACACAAATTCCACTTTGACGTCTCACTATGAGTGGCAACCAGGGCCGCTGCCTGCGAGCATCCTTTCACCCTCAGATCAGGCTCAGCCCTTTCCGGAAGAACACGCCGTGGCTCAGGGAGACCGAGAGCCGAGGCTGAGAGGTGGCCTTCTGCCTGCTGTAGAAACCTGGGCTTTCCTCAACCCCTGAGACCCAGCCATGCCCTCTGCCTGCAAATAACTGAAGAGGATCGTGTTTAGCCAGTTGGGCACACAGTAAAGTCAACCTCGAAGGGTACAGAGCATCCTGCAACATTCTCTCAAGATTACGTGCCCACAGGGTGAGTAGCTTGCCTCACTTTGTATGGGACTTTCCCAGTTTGAGTCCCGAAAGCCCCTTATCTGGGGCAAACCAAAGGACTAGTCCCTCCACTTACGTGTGACCCAGTGAATGACACAACCCCCAACAAGGCAGCCGGGGATGAGAGCCGGAGACGGACACAGAGACGGGTGGGTGTTCCTGCAGGGACAAGCAAACATGCCCCTGTTTGCTGTCCTGTGTTTAAAGGTCTGGGTCATTAAGGACAGAGTCAACCTCACAGAGTGAATCTCTTTTCCAGTCCCTGTCATCCAGAGGGTGAGGGGCTGTTACGACTCACGGTTCTAGAACGGTGGGTCTTCAGATAGGAGAGGATGACATGGCGGCCTCTGGGGAAGGGAGCTGCACGCCAGTCCCCAGGGCATGGCTGAGGGGCAGCACGCGTGGCCGGGCTCAGAGCAAGGTGCACGCCGCTGGGGGTTGGTGCAGAGGGAACCCGGGCTAGCTTCACTTTTGCCTCTGGACACAAGCAGGAGCAGCTCTGAGCTGGTCTCCCGTGGAGCTGAGCCAGTCTGTGTCCTTCCTGCAGTGGCAGCCCCCAGTGCCTTGCCCTTGTAGACGCGTCCACCCTAGAGATGAACAGGCTGGGTCGTTGGAGTTTCCAAATCGTGTAGGCAGCTCTCTGGCTTCTGTGAGGCCATCTACCAACTCGGGCCAGCTTCACCGGGGATGGCCCGGCCACTTCCCACCCGCCCGGCACCTTCCGGTCTCGCCAAACCACAAACGCACGCGAGCTTGCCAGAAACTACACAGCGACTGACCATTACCTGCGTGCAAGCCAGTCTGTGCAAGACACCGAGGGGCGCGGCGGGCCCGGACACGCACAGGTCACGCCGGGCCACAGGGGTGAAGCCTACTGCACGGCTTCTGAGAACACCCCCAGATCCACCAAGAAGACAACCAGCACGCCGAGGCCGCGTCCACGCCGTGTACATACGTGCAAAGAAATCAGGGGCGCATTAACCCTGCTCCCGGTGTAGACGCCAGGGGCAGAGGATGAGGCAGGTCTCATCAGCCGGGTTCCCACATGGTCACACGCCAGTTTTGAAGTCCTTTCAGAGACAAAAGCAGAAAGCCGGTAGCGACTGTCATCAACAACCCGCCCCCCGCCCCCCGAGGGCTATGCAGCAGCTGGGCTCCGCTCCGCCGGACACCGTGTTCCCGTGTCAACCTCTGCCCATGGCCGCCACAGCATGACTGAAGTCGTGGATGAGGTGGGGACAGATGTCGCTCCAGTGGGTGTCACGGCTCAAAAAAGAGAAATCTCTAGACTTTTTTCCCAACAATTTAAAAAACTACCCCTTGCTCATCGTTCCCATAGAAACAAGAGTCAGGCTGGATTTGGCCCACGGGCCAGGGGTGGCTGAGCCCTGGCTTAAAGGAAGGGATCGCAATCCTGACAGAGCTGGGAGGGTGTCGGGCCCGGGCTCTGGTTAAGGATGAAGCAGCAGAGTTGACGCCCAGAAGGACAGGAGCAAATCCATTGATTCCCATCACAACGCAGCTCTGAAACAAAACCCTTCACGCATCTGGAGGGCACAAAGCAGAAACCGCTGGCAGTCCTCTCCCCTTACCGTGGCCCCGGAGCTCCCGTCCTCGCAAAGGACTTGCCTCTGGGCTGAGGCCGCTGTGAAGAAGCCTCACTCCCCATCTCCGAGCACCTTCGTCACTGCGGCTGCTCTCTGAGCACGTCTCTCGGAACGTTTTTGCCCGCAGAAGCTTGTGAGCACTTTCCCGTGCAAGTGCTGGCCTGGCTTGCCCAGAGTTCATCTCATGTCCAACTCCCGCCTTCCTGGGGTGAGGGGGTCACAGCTCACAGCGGATGAGGCTCAGGGACACAACACACACAGCCACGAAACTCAAGTGCTGGAGCGCAGCCGGAGGGCCACACCTGATGTGACGCGGTCCACGGCAGGGGTGGCAGGCGCTCTGCTCCAAGGGTCACGTCCCACTTCAGTAAGTCGTGGTCAGAATCTTCTCAAAGCGTCAGCAAAGAAAAGGGGAGAGGGTGTCGAATTCAAAAGTGCTCTGACGATCAAAGCTGCCTTCGGAGGCAAGGTGATATTTATACAACGGGGAATTCCGAGATGCAATTCAAGTTGCTTTTTGTCCAGAATCGAAACAACTAGAAAGTGGAAATAATCGTATTTCTCTTCTCTGTGGACAGTGCTGTAGGAGACGCTCCGCCGCTGACAAGCACTCTCAGGATACAAATATGTTAGTGATGTAAATTCACATCAATAAACTCTAACATGCGTTAGGCTCGGCCGAGCCCTGCGTGAACCATGTGACCCGCATCGTCTCTGCTCTGTGCGGACGATGCTGCGTGAGCCACTTTACAGACAAAGCATCTCCAGCAGGACCCACTGACTTGCTGGAGATCCCAGAGCGAGAGGATGAGGCAGGATCCCCACATGGGCTGCCCGCGTCACCTCCCCGTGCTCAGACCCTGCTTTTCCCACAGTCCTGTAATCCATCCAGCTGGTCAGAGACTGGACAGGAATTTAGAATATTGCTGATGGTAGATCCATCTACCTGTCCTTTGAGATGTGGAAAATGGTAGTATGTATTTACGGTGACTGTTGACGAGGGTATTCCATTGGCCAACTGCCCATGTATCAACTCTTCATTCATTCATGGGGCGACATTAATTCAAACCCATTTCTGGTGGTTGGGAAGCAGAAAAGTGGGCATGGATCCATAAGCATATCCCACCTGGAAGAGGAGAAGATGGGAAAATTCTCACTCAGCATGTTCCCATGCAGCATAAAGAGAGAAAAGGTATAAAAAAGAAAAATTAATGCAGCCCAAATAGGTGTCAAGAAAAGCAAAGATGAGGCACTACAGTGACAATTGAAGACTTGTTAAGAAGTGAAGATGGGAAGGACATCCCAGGCAGAGGGGGCCATCTGTGGCCGGCACACAGGGTGTCTACAGTGGCATCGGGCATTATCAGAGATGAGGAGGGGGAGGGACATGGTGCTACGGTGAAGGACCCTATCTTGACATATTAGAACTTTCAGCTTTGTCCGGAAGGTTATCAGGAGCCACTGGAAGATTTAGACCAGGGAAGGGTCCTAGGCATGGCATTCGGGTTTGGATTTTGGGGAGAGACCTCTGCTGGCAGGGTGGGGAGACAAGGGTGGGTAGGGTTGTAACCAGAGGCACGGAGGCCGGGAGACAATAATCCAGGGAAGGAGGAACAAAGAACCGAAGGAAAGCTATTCCGTCAGCGGAGGAAGGGAAATGAACACATCCAAGAAATCATGTTGAGATATTAACTGCTGGAAAAACACACATATCCTGAGTAGAACATACACGTACCCTGTCTGACAAACAAAAAGACTGATGTTTGCATCATTTGTGCTTCACGGCCCTACCCTTGGTCCCATCTAGAAAACCGGTCCCACCTGCAGACCTAGAAGGGGCCGATGGAACCAAGGGCAGATGCGTGACATCAGGACAGTCCAGCCATTGGCTGGCCCCTCTTGTGGTCTGGCTCGGTTGTGGGGAGGGAGGCTGCCCTCCTCAGTCTGTCTTTAGAAACAGACGCTGAAAGGTTATAGGGGGGGACTTGGGCTGGTCACCATGCTGGGTCACCTATAAGATAAGCAGGATGTAAAGACTAGTTGGGGCAGGAGGATGGGGAAGCAAGAGGAGAAGAGCATGGGGGTGAGGCCATGTGGCCTTCAGGAGTGAAGGCAAGGGCAAGGCGCTGGGTTCTTGAGGCTCAGATGCCCAGCTTCTGCTGAGATGAAGCCAAGTGTCCATTCCTTGTCGCCTTTCTGCTGGCAGACTCCCGTCCTTATCTGTCCTGGCTCAAGCCTGTTTCCATCTCTTCCATTCCAAAGTCTTAATTAAAACAAATCCTTTAAAAAACCGTCAAAAAAGGAAAACACCCCCGTACAAAAAACGGACAAAAGACATGAACAAGGAATTCACAAAAGAATACAACCGGCCAATTAACATGTGAACAAACATTCATCCTCACTTATAGTCTGTGAAAGGAAATTTGGCAAAGATTTGGAAATTTGTAATAACTGGGAAAATGTCATTCATTTGTGGTAGAAATGCAATTTAGTGACCCTTTCTAAAGAACAATTTGGCAACAACTAAGAACGAGCACCCTAAATGTCCTCCTACCTTTTGACTCACCAAATCCACTTCTGAGAATTTATCCTAAGGAAATAACAATCACTTCCAAATTGATTGCATTTATGAGCCAAACCCGAGCCCAGAGAATACAAAGATTTTAATATTGAATAAGGATGTTCACTGCAGGAACGCTGATGGGAGCAAATATTCAGACACAATGGAAATGCTCGGCAATAAAGAATTGGTAAAATTAATTATGGGATGGTTAGCTAGAAGGAGAGAAGGCCACTATGCAGTCATTAAAATAATGAGAAAAACTAAAGAAACTAGATATTGATGTTACTTTTTAGGCTAAAGATATATATGTATATGTATCTACGTAAACTATGTACACACATATATTTGTACATGTATATATGTAAATTGTGACCCTTATTCTTATATAATAAAACTCAGCTATATATATGTACTTGACATATTTCTATATGTCATACACACGCCGCACATACCAGGTGCATTCGTGAACACCTCTGGAGGAAGGTCGATCTTCACAAAAAAGAGTTTATGGATGTGTACATAGTGTATATATTTGTTTGCATATATATAAAAACACATACCAAACACTAATGTACATTAATATTAATTTGTGCTTGGCATATATCAAAATATCAACAGTGATTGTCACTAAATGGTGGAATTCAACATACACTCTTTTTCTACATTCAGTAGTTTCTAATGAACACGTAGAGGGCATGTGGGTGCTCAGTTGGTTAAGCGTCTGACTCTTGATTTCGGCGCAGGTCGTGATCTCGGGGTCGTGGAACTGAGCTCCTGTGTCAGGCTCCCCAGGAGTCTGCTTGAGATTCTCTCTCTCCCTCTCCTTCTGCAATCCCACCACCCAGCGCACATGTTCTCTCTCTCTCTCTTTCTCTAGAATAAATAAACAAATATTTTTTAAAAAAAACACACAGGAATTTTACAATCAGGGAATGTTTTTCTAAGAGGTTGAAAAATGTATAATCAAAGGGAGCTCGCAAACAACTGGACACAGGAGACGGTGGGAAAGCCCACCTTCTTCCCTATGCCCTGCGTCCCCTCGCCACTGTGCTCACCGGGCTCCCGTGTCCCTTGCCAGTGCTACTGTAATATGCCACTGGCTTCGCGCTTGCTTGCCTGTCTTGCTACCCTCCTGTCCCAATCCATCCCCCACCTGCAGCTAGAATAAAAACCATCAATGCTTCCCTGTCTTTCCTACTCCATTTAAAGTCCTTTCATCGTTTCCCTCTGCTAAGGAATACGATGCAATTTCTGTAGCGTGGCCTGAAGGGTCCTCCGTGATCTGACCCCAGTGCTTGTCTGGGACCTCGTCTCACGGTGCTGGTGAAAGGTGCACGCGTCAGTCTCAGCCTTTCGCCTCCCAGCTCGGCTGCTTACTCAGCGTCTCATGCCTCCATTTCTCCACCCGTACCGACCTCATGTCCACCTGTTTGACCGAGCCTGGCACCAGGTAAACACTCCACAGATGTTTGCTGCCATGACTAGTTGGCCAGTACCTTGCACACTGATTCTTATTGGTCAAGGAAAAGAACAACCTAGAGGATTCCCAGGTTTCTGACTTTGCCATTAGCTGGAGAACAGAGCCATTCACCAAACACAAACTCGGCCGGGGGGGAACAGGCTCCCTGAGCTCTGTCTCAGCTCAGCTGAGGCAGTGGGTGGATGGGACTGGAGTGAGAACAAATATACAGCTCAGAAGGCAGACCTCTGTATCCCCTCATGGGGGTGACGTGGGCCCCGACCCCCAGACGGCATCCCTGCTGTCGCCGGGATGAAGGAACAGCCCCTAGGAATAGATTTTGTCCAGCTCACAGACCCCGAAATGTGGGTGCGGAATAGCCATCCTCATAGCCCTCCTGGGAACCCCCATTATCTCTCAAGATTGGAAACAGTTCTCTGACTTTTTTTTTTAAATGGGACACAAAAACTGTTCTTTATCAAGATATGGCAGGGCAGACATGTGCTTTTTATAAAAGCAATTACAGAGACCAGATGAAAGAAGGTGATGAGGTCAAAATGCATTTCAAATTCCCTCTGTTTTTCTCAGATGGAGAAATGCTTTCTATTACATTCGTTAAAAGTTCACTACCACCTGATAAAAATCTTGAGAAAGGCCATGTGTGTTGCTAAAGTAGCTCTAACAGAAGATAACGTGAAAGAGAATAAATCTGGGTTAACCACGAGCTCGGGTTACCCAGCCTTCCAGAAAGGGGCTCCTCTGGGGAGCAGAAACAGTGCCCAAGGACAGCATCAGGGTGTCTGGAGATCTTTCCGCGTAACGGTTACAGTAATCGTCATCGCACATCCGCTCTTGCATTACCATTTTAAACCTGTAGAGACCCACACCTTGTCCTCTAATTGTAAACCCCCTCAGAGATTTTTTTTTGAAGATTTTATTTATTTATTTCACTGAGAGAAAGAGAGATCACAAGCAGCAGAGAGGGAGGCAGAGAGAGGGGGAAACAGACTCCCCGCTGAGCAGAGAGCCTGATGTGGGGCTCAATCCCAGGACCCTGAAGCCATAACCTGAGCTGAAGGCAGAGGCTTAACCCACTGAGCCACCCAGGCACCTCCCCCCACCTCAGAGATTTTTAAACCAGATTTTAAGGAGACTCATTTTTTTCACCTTTACTATATGAGTCACTCGTTAATTCATTCAACAAACGCCCACTAAGGACTGCCTCTGCTCCCACCAGAAGATAAAACAAAAGACACAGTTTCTGCTCTGGAGAAGCAGTCTCCCGTGGAAGG